CAGCCTTCTTCACCAGTTCCTGTCCTTGTCTGGATACACGGAGGAGATGCATTCCTCACTGGTACAGGTTCTCTGGCTAGGCAAAATGGGGCTGGCTTAGCCTGTCGAGAGAACGTCATTATGGTCACCATTGTGGTCTCTACGAATTATTGCCTGGGTGTTCTGGGCTTCCTGTCATTACCACCAGCTGTTTGAGGAAACATGGGCCTCTTGGTCTAGCAGCTGGCACTGAAGTGGGTGAAGGAGAATGCAGCTGCCTTTGGCAGAGCGCCTACCAAGGTGACCATTTTTGGTCAAGATTCTGGGGCAGCTTCTGTGGGTTTCCATCTCCTCTCCCCAAGAAGCCAGCCCCTGTTTGCCCAAGCCATCCTTCAGAGTGGAGATCCTACTGCTATCTGGGCTTGGAGGAGTCCTGAAGAGGCGTGGCAGAAAGCCCTGGCTTTTGGCAAATTGTTGGGCTCTGAAGAAGGCAGTGATAATGATGTGATGAGCTGCCTAAATGAAAAAGATGCCGAGGAATTTGGCCAGCATGTGTTTTGGATGGCTAACACTGCTTTCGAGAGTCCTTTCACACCAACAACAGATGGGGAGTTCCTGCCAGTTGAGCCACACAAGCTTCTGGAGGCTGGAAAAATTCAGGTCAAACCGATGATAATAGGTACCACTTTGGATGAAGCATCTCTTTTTGTGCCGTATCTATTTCCTAAAGTGAATAACAGCGAAATCACTTGGCAGCAGCTACTGGGAGCAGTAAAGATGCTGGAAAAAAAATGTAGCTGAAGAAGGCATTGAGGCTGTGGCACAGAAGTACAGCGAAGAGAGTCACGGTCCAGGAAAGTCCCGTTGGGCCCTGTCACAAGCTTTCAGTGATTACTTCTTTGTGTGCCCCATTGCTGAATTCGCTGCACAGGCCACAAAAGCTGGGAGCCCTGTCTACTTTTACTCTTTCCGTCATCATACGTCTGGCTCTGTCTGGCCTGAGTGGAGCGGGGTGCTGAGGTCCCCTATGTGTTCGGCACCCTCGGGGCGGTGGTGGCCGCCAACCAAACATACACGGAGGCCGAGGCAGCCCAGAGCCATCAGGTGATGCTCCACTGGGCAGAGTTTGCCAGAAGTGGGTAAGGCACTGCTCTTTCCTCTCGTCCTGGCTCTGCACTGACTCTTCTGCGTAAGCATCCGGCTTCGTACAGAAGGGGCCTCTCCGTCCAAATGTCACCAAAGGCACATCATTAACTTTGCTGCAAATGCTGCCTTCAGTTGGGTGGAACCCTCACGGCCCTACAGAAGGCATGGATGGCAAAGTTTGACTTATATAGTTTAAAGGTAATGACTTGGTTTTCATGTCACAAACAACCCACCATTTGCTAAGCCTTTATTTTTTGGAACAAGGAAGCAAATGAGCATCCTGGTTCCTGGATATATAATTTTACTTTCTTCACAGGCATCCATCACAGTCAGGATGGTCTCCCTATAATGCCACCCAGGAGAATATCTTCTACCTGGACACTAAGCAGACTGAAGCTTCAGGATTTCTGCCCCTTTGACACTGCAATTTCTTGAAAAGGCATTTGGTCAACTCAGGTGAGTTCAGCAAGTTGTCTGGCTGAGCGTATGCTAGATGTTCATGAGGTGTTATTGTTACTTTTTGTCAAGTTGTCTCTCACCTAAGGGGACCATTTATGGGAACCCTCCAACATGTTCTGTCCTTGACAGCCCTATTCAGTTCTTAAGGTTGTTGCTTCCTCTATGTAATCAATCCACCTTGTAGTTGGCCTTGGTCGTCTTCTTCTCCCACCAACTTTCCCCAATATTATTGTCTTCTCCAGTGTGCTTGCCTTCTCTTGATGTGCCCCCAGAAACAGCTTCAGTTTTGTTGTTTTTGCTTTCAAAGAAAAAGTTTCAAATGCACCTATTTGCTTCTTGTTAGCTTTCTTCACTGTCCAGCTTTCCGACCCATATATAGTAATCAGGAATACAACAGTGTGGATGATCTTGGCTTTGGCCTCTGCTGAATTATCCTTACACTGGATCATCTTTTCAATTTCCTTCACTGCTGCCCTTCCACATCTCAGTCTTCTAATTTCTTGGCTGCAGTCTTCCTTTGAACTGATAATTGAGCCAAGGTATGCCAAATCTTTCACAATTTCAATGTCTTCCTTGCTGACGTTAAAGCTCAGTAATTATTCTGTAGTCATGATTTTTTTTTAAATGCTCAGTTGTTGACCTTCTTTGTACTTTTTTATTTCATCAGGAGCCATTTCAACTCATTGCTCCTTTCTGCAAGTGATACGGTATCATCTGCCGAGCTTAAATTATTGATGGACCTTCCACCAATTTTCACTCCTTCCTCTTATCCTAATCCAGTTTTTCTTAGGATAAGTTCTGCATACAGCTTGAACAGATAGGGAGATGAATTAGACCCTTGACTGAAGGCTGTTGCCTGTGGGAAAGCATTCTGTTTCTCCATTTCTGTTTCTGTCCTCACAGTAGCTTCTTGTCCATGCTACAGGTTACGCATCAGGACAATCCTGCTTTTTTCATAGCTTCTCATCAATCACACAGTGAAAGACCTTGCTAATGCTTTTAGGAGCTTGCCGTGCATTGCACCTAGCATCTCCTAATTCTGAGAGATGTTATGGTGTTCTATGTATACACCTGATTTCTGGGCAGTGGAGCTGTTGGGTACCCTCTGTGTGAAGCTACGAAGCAAGCTGTATGTCTGAGCTCAGGCTCCAATTTTCTTAAGCAGAGAAGGCACTTTCTTTTCCTTTGGACTGCAAACTACTCCTCAATATATATGGGACTGACTTCTACAGGATTAGCAGAGGAGTCCCTATGCTCACTTTGGAATTCCATGTTAAAATATCTGGCCCCTTCATACTGCTCTCCAGCCCTCCTAATCAAAGCCTAGGCTTGATAAAAAGGCCTCTGGGCCTGGCACAATCTCAACAGCCCAGTCTGCCTTCTGCTCACCAACTCCTTTTCCGATAGTTCTTAATGCAGTTGCGCTCGTACAGGAGGAGTGTTAGCCGATCGCCTCCTGGCTGCCGCTGCTGTGGCCGTGTGGCTGCGTCCCCAGAAACCTTCTCCCCACTGGGCAAATGCAACCTGCACAGAAGGTCCTGTGTGGCTTGGCCTCTGGCCCAAACAGCTGTCAGCATCCAGAACTTCATCTGAAAGCTGCTGAGTCCAGAACAAACCCTTGGAGTTCTCACTGCTCAGGTAACTGGGACGTGCCTAGAAGTACATTATTGCTACGATAGTGACAAGGGGAGATAACAAAGAAATGCCATGTTCTGTAGATTGATAGACTCCTTTGAAACATTATGTTCTTTGTAATATTTTGGTATTGTGAGAATACCCAAGAAATGACTCATCAGACCATCCTAGCTGACCCCTCTTCCTCTTGTGCTTAGTCTGTATTTAGAGCTCCACCCACGGATAAAAGTGCACATAGGCTGCTAGAGAATTAAGGTGGTTTGAAAGTGATTATTTCTCTTCAAGGAACCATGCTTGGGTGTTGTCTCTGTGTGTGCATGATTGCATATTTGGGGTACAGGACAGGACCTGAGATCCTTTGGTGAGGAGGAGGCAAAACTAGGGTGGTTATATCATCCTAAAATTTTCTAAGTCTCCAGTCATCAACATCCATCTTCTAAATTTAAATTTATTGCTGGTTACGATGTTGTACTGAGGATAGTGATCTTTCACTGTTTTCTTCCTTTCACCCACCCACCCATGGACAAATCTGAAGACGTTTCTGTTGCACCAGGCAAGGAGCAAGAAGGGGAGCACGATTCCACTGCTTAGGCACTGGATTCCTGATGAAAAGTCAGGAGATCGACAGACAGAGCTGGGGGAGTGGTGCAGGATTCTCCATCCACAGGGGTGAACTGGGGAGAAATAGTGGAACCAAAAAGGAGGGGCCAGAAGTGCAAAATGGGAGGGTGGGGGAGACAAAGCAGCCAGTGCATCAAAAGGGGAGGGGGGAACATCTATCCCTTGGCAATGTGGTCCTCGAGCTTTTGAGGGGAGTGTCCTCCACCTTCACAACACTTCCCTGGCTCTCCAGCTGCCCCAGAAAGGGGAGAGTCTAACTGCCTCCTGTGCTGCAGTTACTGCAATCCATTCAGTGTTTGAAGAGATCCTAGGATGGCGGCTCCATGGAATGCAGGGAATGGGGGCCCACAGTGGGGGTGACTGCAGTGAAACTGCCGCCGGTGCTGCCGCCCCACTTGCTCCATCCCGCTCGGTACTCTCTAAGGATTTAAAACCAATCAAAAATCCACAATGAGACTTTTTTACACTTTTGTATAATGGGTTAATGCATGGAACTTGATGAGCTGGGAAGTAAATGAAGGGGGAACTTGTACACCTACAGTGATGAAGCACTAACTGTGTGCATGCAAATTTATTTCTTTATTTTATATTTATATTGTGATTTATATCCTGCCTTTTTCCTACAAAGGGCTCAAGGCAGCTTACATCATCTCTCCTCCTGCATCTTATCCCCACAACAACAACCCTGTGAGGTAGGTTGGGCTGAGAGTCTATGACTGGCCCAGAGTCACCCAGTTGGCTCCATGGCCGAGTGGGGACTAGAACCCAGATTGCCTGAGTCCCAGTCCCGTGCTCTTAACCACTACACCACACTGGCTCTCCCCTCTATTTACTTCCATCACATTTGTGTATATATTCCAGTGCCAAAAGCTTGCACAAATATTCCCAGCAGTTAAAAACATCCCGTAGCCGAATGTAATGGAGCAGATGAGGCACCAGCAGACGCAGTATTTACACCTCTCCCCCACCGCTGGTGGGCCATCGGTCACTTGGTCCCTTCCAGCAGCCTTCTTAGGGGTCTTTTTATAACTATCAAGCAACCACAGTG